CTGTCTGATGGTATATATATCTTGAAAACTTTTTTAGTAGAAATACAGTCCAATTCAACAATTATTGGAAACCTATCATACCTACCATGGTGGTGAATAAAATAGATTTAGTCTTTGACTTCATCTTAGTGAAAAAAGTGTGGAAATGATTTACCAACTTTTTCAGGTTCTGGAGTAAGGGAAGCACAGGTAAAATAATTTGATACATATGTGTTCAAGCCTAACTGTTATATGAGTATACTTGTCTTAGCCCACATGACAGGCATATTTGCACATCACAATAAACTACATTCCCGTAAAGAGTGCTAGGAGATATTCTCCCCATCATGACTCCAAAAATTATAAAAATTAATAAATGCATTTCACTCGTGTAAGTAAAATCAGATAATTCCAATACACATTGCTCTCAATGGTTAAATACTTCCCTGAATTTTAAAACAAACTAAATAAAGCCTATAGTTCAATAATGACTCTGTGTGGTTTCATTAAAAGTTACATTTTGACAGTTTCTCAGAAGGCCAACACTTCATAATTAATGAACGTTCAGCCAAAAGGTTGACCTTCTGAGTGATTGGACAAGCACAAACTTAGAAGGAAAAAAAATTGCTTTCAACTATTTATTGAAGCCTAAGAGCTGTTATCTTTTAGAATGAAGGTAAGTTCTGGAACCATGCCTGAGAAATTGGCTCTGTGTGTTAACATTTGAGAGTTCCTTTTACAATAAAAAATCCATGCTATATACTTTATTTTATGCTATATTTAAAAGAAGAGAAATTGTGAAAAGCTTCAGCTACCATGATCATTAGTGGCCTCCTTTAAAGGTTTCTGAGACTGAAATCCCGAGAATGTGAAACCTAAGTTATCAGGCATTTGATATAAATAGCTCCGGCATTCATTTCCAAGCTAAATCTACAGAGCCTCTACTGCCATGTGGCTTCCTCCTCTCTGGGATTGAGTCAGTTAGTTCATTTACTCAAAGGTTACTGCTAATAAGATCAAGGTTGCAGGTGCAACCTAATGAAAACAAACTTTTAAGCCAAACACATCTGGATTTGAGTTCCAGTTCAGCCCCTTAGAAGCTGACTGATCTCAAATATGTTGCTTAGCCTCCCTGATGCTTAGTTTCTTCACATTTAAAATGGAAGGGTAGCACCTCTCCCATATTTCTGTGTTTTAGCATGAAACAGTTAGAATAGACTGCAGTTAGCATTGATACACTTGGTTCAGGGCCTGATACATAATATTCTCTCAATGAATGATAATTGTGGTTTTAATTTTTTATTAGAAAAACACTTCACTGTACACATTTTTATTCTACTGATCATTAGTTAGCAATATCCAAATATCAGCAAAAGCATTGTTCTGAGAATGTATAGAAGCCTATACACCTGCTTATATTTTGGGGCCCACCAAAAATTTCAGGTGTTCCAACAAGAATTCTTTATCCTTTTGTATAACAATTATAATCAGTTCTATCCCAATGATTGAATGAATTTTAAGAATAAGCATGTAAAATAACAGTGCCAGCTCATATATGCTGAATAAGTTGTGTTCAATGGATGATTAAATGGATGGTTAGGTGAATGAACTATTTAAAACTATGGGGCACTCAGAAACAAAGCTTGAGGCAAGAGACTAAAGATTCACTTACATGTTGACACTGACTTGGTCTACGACCTTGAGAAATTTTCTAATTTTATTTGATTCTCAATTTCTTCCTCTTTAAAATGCAGGGGTTTGATATGTAATGTCCAGCCACTGTCCCTCTCCAGTTCTGAAGGGCTATGATTCACACAGTGAGGAAACTTGACTTAGGAGGCAATTTGTTTATAGAAAAAGAAGAGGTGATAGAATTTAAGTCCCTCGAGCTCTTATATTCCATCTGTTTTCTCTTCTAACAGACTTTTGAAAAAGTTTCCAAATATATATTATTTGACCAACCAGAGAATAGAAAGTGCATGAGGAAATTCTGCAATGAAAATGAACACACCCAAGAGACCTGATTTTAGAAAAGAGAGGCTTAGAGATGGGACTTTGGGAGAAAAACTCTGAAGGGTCAGCCGGTTTGTTGTAGAGGGTATCAGAATATGTCATCCCAATATATGCCACTTTTGGCATATTGATGACTTTGAGCTACAGGAAATTGAGAATAAATAGATAAACAAAAAGTATTCTGCCTTCTCCTTATTTATTTAAAAGCAGGGCATAAATTTGTAAAGGTGGCCCTGCTCCTTCCTTTCTCTACTGGGAAGGACAGAAGTTAATCACCAGAGAAAACTCTAGACCCTTATCAGCCCAGAGAAGTCACCAGAGGAATCTACATAACAAACCTTACTAAAACTAGCCCTTATCTTCCACTAGTTTCCACCATATATGAGGGTACTTCTAAGCATCCATGGAAAAATAGAATTAAAAGATAATACTCATCTTTCCGTGAACATTTTGAAGTACCCTCATACATATGTGATGCACATGTTAATAAACTTCTGTTTGTTCTTCTCTTGTCCATCTGTCTTTTGTCAGTCTAAGTTACAAGTTACAAGTCCCAGCCAATGAACCGAAAATGAGTAGAGGGAAAATAACTTTTTTTCTCCTCTGCATTTGCTAGTCTACGGCTTTTCATGAAGACAGTTGGTCAACACTTCCTGGTATTTTTCACTTGCTTATTAATTCATTTATGTGGAGTATACTAACATTTATAAAGCAAATGTATTTCACAGGGCTTAGCTTCCAAGGCCCTGTAGTTTCAGGTATAGCCTAACTTTTTAAAATTACACATACAAATGTTAAGCTTGCAAAAGGCAGGAAACTTTCCCCGGGCTAAAGTCTCTGTTGTAGATAAAGAATTGTAGCACAGCAAAATCATTGGCTCTAAGGGCAGATGTCTTTGGTGCAGCTAAACCTAATAATTGTTGCCATGACAATTATCTTACTGTTCTTTTTGTAACAACCTATGTTCCTTTTCTGTAACTTTCTGGTCTGGAGAATAAATACTGAGATATAACCCTCCTTCAGTGTTATTTTTCTGAGGAATGCTTCTCTCTTAAGGGTTCCTGGAAAATTAACCCCTCTGGGGCCTCTCACAGCTCAGAAGATATGGGTTTTGAGTAATCCTTTGCATCTCTATCGCCCTGGGGCAGAGGTGACACATTTATTTATTCAACCAATGTTTGTTAAATGGTTGCTATTTGTGTGGCATCCTGCTAGGGTAAGATTGTAAAGATGAATTGGATATACGTTCTGTCCTTAAAGAACTTATTCTTGAGTAGGGATGATAAAGCATGTATATAAACAGAAAAATGTTCTGAAAGATATGAATGAAAGTTACATGGGATTTAAGAGGAAGAATGATCTAATTTCAGCTAGGTAGATGGCAATGAATGGAGGAAAGTAAGGAAAATATCTTTTAGAAGATGGAATTCAATGAATCAATTCACACACATACATACACACACACACACACACACTCACACACACACACAC